TGAGGCCTGTTGTCTATGTGTTGGTGTGTCGCGGGGAGCCTCTCGGGAGCCTCTCGGAGGCGGTTTCGGCGCCTGTTGGGGGCCTCTTGGGGCCTCGTGGGGTATTTTTTTGGGCCGGGCCCGCCTTGCCGACCTGCCCTCTATGGATCTGCCCACCCGATCTGCTCGTCTTGTTCTACCACATGTCTTCTGCTCCTTGCCCCCCTATGCTGCTAATTTCTCTCGTGCTCCATCCTTCTCCCTCCCCCACGTCTTGGTTGGCACGTGAGCAGATAGGAGCGAACAGTCTCAAGATGCTTGTCGTTGTTGGTGATGATGACGATGATGCTGATGATGATGGCGGCGATTACGATGCGTTGATGATGATGACGACGATGATGATGATGGTAATGATGATGATGATGATCATGATGATGATGATGATGATGATGATGATGATGATGATGATGAGGATAATGATTATGATGCTGATTTTGAAGAAGAAGATGAGGATGATGATGCTGATGATGATGCTGTTGCTGGTGATGCTGCTGATGCTGATGATGATGGTGGTGGTGGTGGTTGTGATGATGATGATGATGATGCTGATGAATATGATTATGATGATGCTGCTGCTGATGCTGATGATGATGATGATGATGATGATGATGATACGATGCTGATGAGGAGGAGGATCGGGAGGAGGAGGAGGAGGAGGAGGAGGAGGAGGAGGTGGAGCAGGAGGAGGAGCATGATGATGATGAGGAGGATGATGATGAGGATGAGGATGAGGATGAGGATGAGGATGAGGATGAGGATGGATGATGATGATGATGATGATGATGATGATGATGATGAGTATGATGAGATGATGGTGATGATGATGATGATGATGATGATGATGATGATGATGATGATGATGATGATGCTGATTATGATGATGATGACGACGATGATGATAAGGAGGTGGATGATGCTGATGGTGATGCTGCTGCTGATGACGATGGTGATGCGATGATGCTGCTGCGGCTGCTGCTGCTGGTGATGCTGCTGCTGATGATGAGGAGAGGAGGATGAGGGGATTATCATGATGGTGATGATGTTGATGATGATGATGATGATGTGATGCTGATGATGATGATGATGATGATGATGATGATGATGATGATGAATGATGATGATGATGATGATGCTGATGATGATGATGATGATGATGATGCTGAGGAGGAGGGAGGAGGAGGAGGAGGAGGGGAGGAGGAGGAGGAGGAGGGGAGGAGGAGGGAGGAGGAGGAGGAGGAGCAGGAGGAGGAGAAGGAGGAGGGAGGGAGCAGAGGAGAGGGCAGGACGGGGCAAGAGCAGGGGGCGGAGGAGGGGGGAGAAGTGGGGCGGCCTCGCGGCCGCCTGGTTTTGGCGGGCCCTCGCTGCGGAGAGGTACGCGCGCGTGCACGCGGTTCTGAGAGAGAGGGCGATGCCAGACCCCCGGCATTTTGCATAGACGGAAGCCCAGCCCCTGGCCCCGCGGGCCGCAGCACCCCAGGCGCACCTGGTATACGAGAAGTTCTCCCCCCCCCTGGGCCTCTCCGGGGCCCGGAGCCTTCCAGGAGCTTCCACGGCCCCCTGGAGCTTCCGGGTAGGTTCCACACGGGTCCCAGACGGGCCAGCGTGGCTTCCGGACGGCCCAAGAGGCTCCCAAGATGCCCCAAGACGGCTCCCAGAGGACCCTCACGAGGGCCCGACAAGGCAACAACCGCCCCATTCCCTTAAACAGAATTCGCGCTATTTTCATGTGCGTAGCGGTTAAGATGGCCCCAGAGACCCGCAGGAGTTCACCCAAACGGCCCAAGAGGTCCCACAGAGGGGGCCCTAAGAGGGGCCCCGCGGGGGTGGGACGGAATTCGAAGCCACGTTTCGAGGCCTCCTCCCCAAGAGGACCCCGAAGACCGCCAGCAGGCTTCCAAAGATCCCCCCAAAGGCCCCAAGAGGCCCAAAAGAGGCGCAAAAGAGGCCCCGAAAGGCGCCCCAAGATACCTCAGAACTGTCTCCAAGAGGCTCCTCAGAGCCCCCCCCCCAGAGAGGCCACCCTTAGGGGCACACGTGGACGAGGAGCACGGTGGCCTCTCTGTCCTCACTTCTAGGCCTCGAGCCCGAGGGGGCCCAGGAGACCTCCTGGAGACCTCCGTGCTCAGGGAGGGACTGTTTATGACTTGTTCCCGGAGCGCTGTCGGACTAAAGTCCTAGCTACAACCGTCGCCCAACTCTCGGGATTCCGCAGAACCTGAGCGCGCGCGAAGAGCGCGTGATGGTTCCAGTATTCATACGCACATGCATGCACACTCCGAGTTTATTACTAGGCGTCGGGGGGGCGTCACTCCTGCGGACAGCCCCACATCGATCCCCGTCGCGGGCAGTGACCGCGTGCCAAAGGTGCTCCGACCCCCATCGTGGCGCGACGACGAGGCGAGGTTGACCCCCGTCGGGGGGGTACCCCCCCAAGCTTATTAAGAATCTCTGAGTACACGTTTTTGTTTGACAGTGCATGTGCAGGTATTGCTGCATCTGTACGCGTGCAAATACCAAGCTTGCGAATCCACATCAGAGCTGCTGGGCCCCCGCACGTCGCAGCACCTTCCTCTGGTGGCCTTCCTCCTGCGCCGCTTTTCGATGGACCCTGGGGTGGAGGGTTTCTCCGAAGGGCTTAGGCGACCCGTCCTCCTCCTCTCTCCTCCTCTCTCCTCCTCTCTCCTCCTCCTCCTTCTCCTCCTCCTCCTCCTTCTCCTCCTCCTCCTTCTCCTCCTCCTCCTCCTCCTCCTCCTCCTCCTCCTCCTCCTCCTCCTCCTCCTCCTCCTCCTCCCCTCCTCGGAGCGCCTATGGCCCATGGGGAAACCGTCCACCCGGGGGTCCAGAAGGCGGCATCCTGGCGCCGGAGGTGGTGAGAGACCTCTACGTTTCCATACCCTCGGTGCGTCGGACGTCTGTGGTCCAGGGTCGACCACCCGGCCCTGAGCCTGTCACGGGGTGCCCAGCATCGAGGATGCTCAGGACACGTGTTGTCCCAAGCGTTGCTTACCCAGGTCGGCTTCGCCTACAGCGCGCAGCTTGTGTCGGCTCTCGTGCCGCCGCGTGCGTCGTATCGAAGGGTCTCGGTGGACAAGCTCACGTCGCCGCCACGGCTGCCGCCGTCAGCGGCTTGCCGCCGCCGCCGTCGCCGCCATCGCTGTGGTCGCCTTGCGGTTCTGGTGCGGTGCAGTGGCTCGTCGTCATCGTCGCCGCCGTCGCTGCGTCGATGCCGTCGATCTCGCTGGTGCCGTCGATGCCGTTGCCGCTCGTCGTCGTCTTCGTCGTCGTCGTCGCCGTCGTCGTGGTCGCGTGAGGGATCCGAGAGGGAGGAGAGGCGAGGAGGATCGGGGGGGCGCCGACAGGATACCCGCGACGGTCCTGGCCAGGCGCCCGTCCTGGGCCCAGAAGGGGTCTGGCCAGGAGCTGGGCCAGGTGGAAGCTCTCTCGGGCGCGGGACGCTGCGTCACGGCTGCGACCAGGGAGGGGGGACAGTGACCGCCGCGAAGGAGAGGGGCCCCAAAAGTTTTTTCGCCCTCTTTGGGCTCCCGGGGCTCCTCCCTTGGCTCCTAAGTTTGACTGTCGTCACCACCGCCATTGTCTCCACCGCGGGTGGACCGAACAGCGCCTCCAGTGGCGCTCGCCCTGCTGGTCACGGAGGAGGCCACGCCCGAGCAGCCGGAGCGTAGGGTCATCATTGGCCGTCGTATCAGTACCGTTTTTTGGCCGTCTTATTCGCCATCACTGCCGGCCCCTCTGGCTCGAGATCTGGCTAACGGACAAGCCGCGCTGCAGCACAAGAGCGTCCTGCAGGCCCGGGCGATGGCGAAGGCCGGGTACGTCAAGCCGGAGCCCACGGGCCTGGCCGCTGGCCTGAACAAGGGCTTCATCACCACCCGCAGGACCCTGAAGCCTCCCTCTCCTGCTCTCCTCCCCTCCTCCTCGTCCTCCTCCTCCTTCTTCTCCTACTTTCTCCTCGTGCCAGCTTAGTCTCGCGAGTGTAGTGGCAGTGCGATTCGATTCGCAATGCGTGCTGATGGGCGAGCTGCGAGAGGCTTGTGGAAGGGTGCGTTCGTGGTGTCGAATAAAACCCGCAGGACCCTTAAGGCGAAGCCGTCCTACCGCATCGGCAGGAAGTCCCAGCGGGGCGCGCTGATCAAGGAGGTGGTGCGCGAGGTGGCGGGATTCGCGCCTTATGAGCGCCGTATGATCGAGCTGCTGAGGGTCGGCTCCGCCGCCACGCTCAAGCGCGCCCTGAAGGTCGCCAAGAAGCGTCTGGGCTCGCGCCTCAGTGGCCTTGAGGTGTGCGATCGTTGATGTTCCTCAGGACGTGTACTAGCACAGTGTGTGTGTGTGTGTGTCTTAGGTTAAGACCTTACTTATCGTTTCGCCAGCTATTGCTTTCAGCGTTACCCTACCAATCGGCTGGTCTGGCATCTTTATAGTTCTTTTTCGCTTCGCTGGCTAATTTGCACCAGACTGTTGTTCGCGCTCCACATCCTGGCGTCGAGCCACGCTCCGCGAGATGATTGGCCGCTGCATAGCTAGCATCATATTGCTGCCTGCGCTTCAACTCCTGGCGTTGAGCTATGCTCTGCGGGATGCTTGGCCGCTGCGCAGTGTTTTCGGCGGTGCCTTATCTCTTCACCACCACAACCAATCTGCATTACCGTGGCTTGACTCTTTCATGACGGCGCGTTCGACTAAGCTCGTTCGCGATTGGCACCTCCATCTGCCGACCGCGCCGGCCACTTAAGTGTGAGTGTGTGTGTGTGTGTGTGTGTTTGTTTGTGTGTGTGTTACTTCGCTTCGTCGCTGCGCGCGAGGCCACGACCGCCAAACGTGTTTTTTGTTGTGTGTGTGTGGTTTGTCCGTAGCCCTCTGGCTGGCCCCTTGGCTCCAAACGTTCGGGTTCGAGGGAACCCGACCTAGTTTGCCGGGCCGCGGCCCAGGGCCGCGGCCCAGGGCCTGCCCCTCGGCCTCTGGCCCCCCGCCTGCGGGAGTGGGGACGGGGCTCTCTCCCTCCTCACTTCCGCCCCGCCGGGCAATACCGCTCGGGAAGTCGCCCGCGGTTTGGCGCCGCCGCTGGGCGCGCGGCGCGCCGTCCCTGGGGGCGGCGCCGCCGGCTGCTGCCGCCGCCGCCTGGGCACCCGCTGCCCTCGGCAGGCGCGCGCGGCCGCCGCGGCTGCCTCGGGGCCTCGGGCGCTGCCCCTGCCACGGCGCTCCCGCTGCCGCTGGCGCCGCCCGCGCGGGCGGCCGCCGCGGCCGCTGCGGGCGCCGCCGCTGCCGCTGCTGCGGGCTGCTCGGGTGGCGCCGCGGCCCGTGGGTGGGGCGGCCGCGCTGGGGCCAGCGGCCGCGGGCGGGGCGCGGGCGCAGCCGCAGCCGCGGCCGCCGGCGCTGCCGCCGCCGCCTAGGCGCCCGCTGCCCTCGGCAGTCGCGCGCGGGTCTCCGGCTGGCTGCGCCGCCGCGCCGCGGCTGCCTCGGTGAAGCCCTTGCCGCGGCTGCTCCGCTGCCGCTGGAGCCGCTGGCGTGGCGGCCGCCGCGGCCGCTGCGGGCGCCGCCGCTGCCGCTGCTGCGGGCTGCTCGGGTGGCGCCGCGGCCGCCGTGGGTGGGGCGGCCGCGCTGGGGCCAGCGGCCGCGGGCGCGGCCGCCGCCGGCGCCGCCGCCGCGGTAGCGTCCGCCGAGGAGGTGGCGACCATCGAGGAGCTGAAGGCTGAGAAGCGGAGGACGTCGAGATGGGCGAAGAGGAAGGCGATGAAGACGTCGACGAGGAGGTGGATGGGGGCATCAGGAACGATGGGGCGAAGTTGGAGGAGATGAAGGGCGACGTCGACGACGACTGCATTGCCTCCGAGCTGAAGGGTGCAGAGGAGGAGGTGGATTCGGTCGCAGAGAAGGTTGCCTTGTGCGACCCAGCCAGGGTCACAGCGAATGACGACGCAGAGCGCCAGCCTGATTTGATGCACGGCCGCGTGAGCATGCTGGCAACCGCGGAGGGCATCCCTCCGAACATCACCAGGCAGCTACGTGGTGTCTTGGGGTCGTCTGCAGGGCTCAAGATTGCAAACGTGCCGAGTCTGCACGATAATTCCTTGGCTCCCGTAGCGGGCTGGGCGCACATCGTTGCTGTCGACGCTTTCGGCGCTTCCCTCGACCTGCCCGCCGACGCGGGCGTCGCGGTGGACGTCGCTTCGCCCGATCACTCGGAGCAGAGCTAAGTCGGGAAGGGTGAGGCTTCGGGGCAGGGTCGGGAAGGTGGAGGTGCAGGAGCGTGTGGGCGACATCGGGAAGCTCGTTCCCAGTTCTATGACACCCGCCAATATTCTTAATGCTGCACGGTCGTTCTGTGTGAATCATTTCCGCCACTTTCGTCGGAGCTCTGGGCTCTGGGATGGACGCTGTGGGGTGTAGGGAACCCCTCGGGGAGCCAGAATGGCAGATCCTAGACCTAAGTCTTGCTTCTTCAATTCACGCTGTGAGATTTGGGATGGACGATGCGGGGCGTAGTGGACCCCCTGCGGAGTCAAGACGGCAGACCCTATGCCCAGTTATGCTGTCTTTCTTTCCAGGTGGAGTCCCCACCAACTCACTCGTGGACCAGGATGAGATGGGGAGTGGCCTCGGTCCACACTGCCCAATCCAATGACTGTCTGTGGAAAGCAACTCAGGTCTAGAGGGGCGGGATGAGCTCGCCCTGCGCCGCCGTGTCGCTAATGGCCGATCTGCGCCGCTCCGACCCGTGCCGCCCGACTACGGCGAAGCGGCCGCGGACCAAGACGACGCAGCCAGATTCCTGGCAGGCGATGCGTGTTCTCCCGGCCTGCTTGGCGACTCTCATAGTGCGTCGCCACCCAACGATGTCGTGGAGACGCAAGGGTTAGGCAACTATCCGCCGGCAGGCTCGGAAAGCGGGCGCAAGGCCCCCGAACTCGGCGGCCCGTGCGGCCAGGCCTCGTCCACCTGGCAACCCTCCTGGGCCGAACCGCGGGTTTGCCCCCCCCCCCCCCCCCGCTACAGACAGTGGTCTGCTTCCAGCGGGCCTGGGCGCGCGCGGTCGCCTATCGCGCCCAGACAGCGCTGCTGCGAGCGACGCGGGCGCTAGAACAGAGGTCCAGAGTCCTCTCGCGCCGATTGTCTTGCCCACTCTGTCAAGGAAGGCAGGCTGGCAGCCGCCGCTACGGGCGACATAGGCAATGGCGCACGACGGGCGCTTGCTCCCCATCGACTCCCACCAATGGCGACCAGCGCGCCTGCTGCGGAGGCGCCGCCCGTGGAAAGAGTTCGCCTCGACGAGCCAGTGCAGGGCGACCTCTCGTCGAAGAGTTGTGGGCCGTCTCTCCGAGGGCGCGGGGGCGCTGGGGTCAGTTCGCGCGGGATAGCAGAACCCGAGCCACAGGACGAGCTCGCCCAGAGAAGGTCCCACGGTGGGTCGTGGCCTAATTCCTGCGCTCCCTGCCAGCTCCCGATCGGCACCTGGCACCTGGCGCCCGGGGCTCGCCTGCCTCGGGGGGCCCGCCTGGTCGGCGCGGAGCTGCCGATGACGCCAGCTCTACTGGGCGCCCGGCTGACCTGCCGGGCGCCTCCAAGCCGATGCTCGTCAGCGTCAAACGGTTTGGGGGTCAGGGCGAGGAGGCTTGGAGAGCGCATTGCGCTCGGTTCCGCGGCAACGCGCTGGGCCCGTGGTGGCATGACGCGAGCTTCCTGCTCGGCTTTCCCGCCGAGTGGCAGTAGGGCGTCGCGCCGCAGTCGCCTGTTTCGGCGGTCACGGACCGACGCCCGCCGATCAGTCGCCTGTTTTGCCTTGCCCCCGACCGATTAGTCGCTCTGGCCACGCGCCGATTAGTCGCCTGTTCTGCCCTATCACCCACCGACTAGTCGCTTTGGACGAACGCCGATCTGTTGCCTCCTGGATGTGCTGTGTTTCACTCGCCTTTGCTTCCGCCACTCCCGGCCTTCGGTTCCGTGGCAGTATGTTTTCTGTCGGAGGTGGCGCGGCGTTCCCGCCAGCCCGTGCGGCGCTCCCCTCCGCGCTGGTTCGTCGGTCCCCTCCTCCTCCTCCTCCTCCTCCTCCTCCTCCTCCTCCTCCTCCTCCTCGTGGGTCGCGGGGTTCGTTCGGTCGACGTCGTCGTCGGTCGTGGGCTCGGCCGCGTCGTGGGGTTCCCCGCCGTCGTCTCTCCGGGCTCCCCTCCTGCCTCTGCCCCTGCTTGCTCTATCTCCCCCTCTCCCCCTCGTGTCGTCCCCGCCGCAGGGGTTGAGCTTCTTTTGCGTGCTCGCCTGGCGGTCACGGCCGGCGTGGTGCGCCTCTTTTCCCTTTCCCTCCTCCTCCTCCTCCTTCCCCTTTTCTTCCTCCTCCACGGGGCGTCTTTGGTCGAGTCGCGCTGTTACCTGTGCTGCTCGGTTTACAGTTGGCATTCAGTGTACTGCTGCATCGGTACCCTACCTATCCATTTGGTCGGCGCTATTGCAGCCTTGTTTCGGCCAGCCCGGGCGTGTCAAAGACAGTGGCCTCTCTTGGTACGTTGTTAGTCACCAAAGGTTTCATGGCATGGTTTCATGAGGCTGGCTTTGGCCCCGCATTTGCATGCTTCTACGTGTGTTGCTGGTGTTCTTTGTTCAAGAGTCGTGCCATGTTCTATTGCACTGCTGGTCCGTAGGCCAGCACCCTACCAATATGCTTCGCAGGAACTCAGTTGCGATCGTCGCGTTGCTCCACCAATCCACTGGGCTGGCAGCAGTTCCGGTTTCTTTTGCGCTTCACTCCCTAACGCCGTCGTGTCGGTGATTCAGTGGCCACCAATTGGCACCAGTCTGCTTGCACTTCAGTTCACTTTTAATTGAGTCTCCTCCTCAGTTCCTGGCCGCTGCATGTCTACGTTTGGCATTACAGTTTCTCGAGCACACCGCTCATCGTTTGCAATCACAGTGTGCGACATCTCGTACACTGTGCTTTCGACAGCGCTCGATCGCAATTCGCCCTTCCATCTGTTGCCCGCGCTTGAGAACCCTCTGCGCCGCCGACCTCAACATGTGTATGTGTGTGTGTGTGTGTGTTTGCTCCTTTCATGTCCACCGATGGGTCATTACACCTTCCGCGTCGTATTGATGTGGTTCGGCGGACAAACAAACGTGGGCGCTAAGACACGTTCTACGGATCATCGGGATCACCGTTCGCCAGGGGACCTGGCGGCGCCAGGCGGAGCCGAGTAAGTCGCCCCTCTCCCAATCCAGATTCGCGTGTTCGTTTTGATTTTCCGTCTCGTTCCAGTGCGGCTCCTCCTCCCTTTTCCTCGTCCTCATTTTCCTCAACCTGCTCCTGCTTCTCCTGCTGATACTACTGCTGGTGCTGCTTCTGTAGCCGCCATCCTTCGCGCTCACCAATTATTCCCCCTTGTCACACCACCAGTCATGTGTGTGAGTTGGGCCAGTTGTTTCGGCGGAGGCATCCTTATGATTTGCGTCTTGACGCGATGAACTACCCTGAAGCTAAACAACTTTAAACAGCTATAAGGTTTTCGACATGCTGCTGACGCCTCAGAACCGCGCGCGCTCGTTTTGAGCAGGCTACCAGTTACCAGGATGGAGGCCCTCTTATGAGTGATTTTCTGAGTGAGCCCCTCACTGGGGACTCCCCCGAATTCATGTCTCGAAGTTCCAGCTTGTGCAATACTTTCACGGATGGAGGGCGGTTGCTTCTGAAACCAGGGCTGTCGCCCAAGACTTCGCACGCGTTATGGCCAGAAATTTGAAATTATGCATCACTCCACGAACTCTCCACGCTCGGGCGCTATACTTGTCAAGACGGGCTACCGCAGGACACCGCATTCAACTTTATCAATCGTCATACCTCTTTGCGTCTTTTGTAGCTCGGAGGATAGAAGTGGGATCCTGTATATAACGCGATTTAGTCTGAGTGGCACGCCCACTGGGCGCCCGTCATTCAAGGGGCGTTTCTCGCAATGGAGAGGAATACTTTCAATGACTTATGAGAGGGGCGCTTGGGACGGGAGGGTCTACTGAGCATCGTTGACGCATCCGGGGCTTTAGAGCTCTACTACAGCTCTCCTTGAGCTCTCCCAGACCTTCCAGGACGCCGCCCCCCCAAATGCGTTTCCCCTACCTGCAGGACTCTCCCTGGCCCTCACTTCCACACATGCAGGACCTTCCCACGCCTCGCTCCGTCTCCTCCTCCTGATCCCCCTGCTTCCCCTTCTCTTCCTCCTTCGGGCCGCGCTGCTCCCCGCATCCCCCTCCGGCAGGGCTTAGCTGACTGAGCCGTTCGTGGTCCGCCTCCTTTTCCCTTTTTCTTGCCCTCCCCCGTCCCTCTCCCTCTTCTCTCATCCTTTCTCTTTCTCTCCCCTTCCCTTCTCGATCTTGTCTTCTTGCGCAACCCTGTTCCCTCTTTCACTTCCATTCTCCCCCTTACTTTGCCCTATCCCCCTTCTGCCTTCCCCCCTACTTCTCCCTCGCGCCACTCTTGCGCAATATGAGTACTACTCCCCTCTCTCCCCTGATGCTGTCTTTGTTTCCTCCCGTCGACCTCGCATATACGTGATGATGCTCTTTCTTACACAGGATTGAATCGAGTTGGCTATCGGTCTGGTCCTGACAATCAGAATGTTCTCGGCCTTGCATACGTGCGACTCCTGCTGCAGCGTTGGCTACATCTCTGGGTCGGCGTTTGGTTCCGGTCGTTCAGAATGGCACTTTCGACCCAGCGCGGGCCACATTTCTAGTCCGATTATTTTCTCGTCGTTGCCGCCTCCTTCCTTTCCCCTGCTACACCTTCCCATGGTCCTCCTGCTTGTCCCGCTCCTCCTCCTGCTCCTGCTGCTTTTGCTCCCTCTGCTTCTTCGTCGTCGTCCTCTTTCTTCTGCTGTTCCTGCGCAAGACATTGCGCTCCAGAGGGTCTCCGACTAGCATTTCATGTGGCTGAGAAAACATTCATTGAGTTAAACAAGCGAAATCGCAACCTGCTCCCGAACCAGCAGAGTCTCCGAGTGCCCAGCGTGGCGACATTCACGACGCTGCAACCGATCGCAAATTTTGACCGACCACGTGGTGCGAGACTTTGGCTTGCACGTCTTCGCAAGCGATGCGAGACGCTCAGGACATATTGTACCGAACGAGGTCCAACAAGCTCTTGTGACATCCTGCGTGAGAGAGAAGCGCACAAAAGAGCGGGTATGCAGTCCCTGCATCTTGAAGTCTATAGTGGCCCGGACGGCCCTGTCGGACAGGGTGCCAGGCTGATCTCGGACCAGCACAAGCGGGTGTTGGGAAGGCAGGCCCCTTTGGACCTGGGACGGGTGGAAGATGTCGTCGTCCTACCCACCCTTCGCCATCCATGAAGGCTACGTTTTTTCGCTTGGGCCGCCCATCGAGATAAATCAATCGGCACAGTCGAGGGCCAAGCCTGAAGTCCCTGGGCCGAGGATTGCAGACAGCAGCGCGAGCCGCAGCAAGATCATGCCCCTGTACTCAAAAGGAGCTTCTCGACCTCGCGCCGCAGGAGCGGGCAGATCGTGGCAGCAACCATGCCTGCCACGCACGAGAAGACCCCCCGCCGAACAAGGTCACGGTCTGTGCGGAAGACGCTCCCAGGCATGGAGTGCCCAAGATCAAAACAGAATTCAGTGAGCCCAGCTTCCTCCATGGTGGGCAGACCGTCAAGGAGCGGGCCACACGCTGTGCAGACAGGCTCACGCCCCCCGTCGGCTACGGAAACCACCACCCATCCTGCAGCAGTTAGCTCCACCCAATCTCCTCCAAAACCGAGCCGTCTAACTAAGAAAGTCTTCCTCCAAAGTCCAGGGCCCCCTCCCTGATTGCGCGTCGCACGATGGGGTAATTTTGGTGATTAGGCTAGTTACTCTAGGACACCCCTGTCAGCGGACACAAAGCAAGTCAGCGCCATTGGAAGGGACGGGTGGGAGGGCTGGGGTATCAGATATGGCGCGAGCGCACCTAGCTTGGCTTTTCCTCTCTTCCGTCTCTTCCTTCTTCCCCGTTCTCTCTTCCCTTTTTCATTCTCTCTTCTCCTCCTCCCTGCCACCCGCTTCCTGCCCGTAGTTTTCCTAAACGCCCCTCCTCCTCCCTCTTCCCCGGCGCCGCCTCGTGTTTGTCCTTTCCCTTCTTCTCTCCCTCTCCCAATGGAGCTCATTCCGCTTGTCCTCGCCCCCTCTTCCGTCCTCCCTTTCCGCCGGATCGCCACCCGACCGTCCCGCTCGCTCTTCTCCCTTCTCCGTCGCCCCTCCTCCCCAATCCCGCTCCTATCCCCTGCCTCTTCCCCTCCTCTCCCCTTCCCCTTCTCTTCCCCTCCCTTCCCCGTCCCTTCGCCTCCCTCCTCCCCCTCGCCCTCGTCGCTGCCGCCTCCCGGTTCCCGTGCCCCCCCCTCCCCCTGTCGTCTGTCGTGTGGACGCCGAGGCACGCACAAGCGTGGCAAGAAGAAGAGGGACGAGATGGCGGAGGTGATGGCGGCTGCTCGTATTGCTCTTCCTTCTCCCTCCCGCTCTTCCATACCTCCTTCCTTCCTCCCTGCTCGCTCGCTCCCTCATCCTCCTGCCCCCTCATCCCTCCCTTCTCCCCCTTCATCCCTCCCTCTCCTGTACCGTCTGTGCGCCCACACCAGGACTTACAAGCACACCCATGGAGTTTTCCGCAATCTCACCCCCCTCCTTCCAGCGCAGCTCCCTTCTTTATATCGTTACGGTACTCACTGCCTCGTCGCAGCTACCCCGTCTTATGCTGACGCCTTACCACTGCGCACCTTCAGCACGCTTGTGTCTCGCCTCCGCCCTCTGCGTGCGACGGCGGTGCCAGCGTCGAGGATGGTCGTCTTTGTGCCTGCTGCGCCTTCGTCGTCACCGAGTGCCCACCGCACGATTCGACCTACCACCCAAGTTGTGGCGACGCCCTCGTCAGCTGCACTGTTTCGGCGTCTGCCTCAAGGATGCCAGTCCTGTCGCCTCTGCTCGAAGACGAACAGGCGCCATAAGGATAAACTTTTGGCGCTCCTCGCGGATTGCTTGGACCCGCGCTGAGGGGGATCCGGCGCAGATCCAAGAACTCCGCGTGGAGCGCAACAAGCTTGTTTTGTTTCTGGCGTTTCTTGTTTTGTTCTTCCTTTGTCGTTTTGTTCCCTAGCTAGGCTCTGCCTAGAAGTGTTCTTACCGTGTATGCTTAAAGGGCCGGGCAGTGGTCCTCGCCCCGGGCGGTTCCCCCAGTATCCGCCCCGCGGTTCCCCCAGTGACGGCCCCTTAGTTTAGCGTTGCTTATCTCATCTTAGCTTAGCTTATTTCATCTTAGCTTAGCTTAGCTTCATCTTAGCTCAGGTTTATCTTAGCTTAACTTACCTTCATCTTAGCTTCGCTGAGCTTTATCTTAGCTTAGCTTACCTTCATCTTAGCTTCGCTGAGCTTTAGCATAGCAGAGCACAGCATAGCATAGCATAGCATAGCGCAGCATAGCATGGCATAGCATAGCATAGCATAGCAACTAATGCTGCTTTCCTAGGGGCTCCAACTTCTAGGTAGGGTCGCACTGGGGTAATTTTGTTTTGTTTTGTTTTGTGTTGTTTTTGTTTTGTTTCTGTCGTTTCTTGTTTGATTTGTTTGTCTTGTTGCTGGCGTTTCTTGCTCGCCCCTTTTCTACCTAACAGCGAAGACTGATAGTTTTCTAGTAGTGTCAAAAGAGAGCATCTTGATTCCCCAGGGGGGTCTGGGCGGGTGCCGTGGAGAAGCCGCGGAAGTCGTTTTAAGCAAACAGTTAGACACTTCGTGGTCTTCGAGGTCCCAGAATTCCATTCCTGGGCATGATTTTGAATGCCCAGAGCAAACTGTAGGCCACTTCGTGGTCTTCGAATTCCCAGAACTCAATTCCTGGGCATGATTTTGAATGCTCGGAGCCAACTGTAGGCCACTTCGTGGTCTTCGAGTTCCCAGAACTCCATTCCTGGGCATGATTTTGAATGCCCGGAGCCAACTGTAGGCCACTTCGTGGTCTTCGAGTTCCCAGAACTCCATTCCTGGGCATGATTTTGAATGCCCGGAGCCAACTGTAGGCCACTTCGTGTTCTTCGAGTTCCCAGAACTCCATTCCCGGGCCACATTTTGAATGCTGAGGCTGAGGCTGAGGCTGCTGAGGCTGAGGCAGGCTGAGGCTGAGGCTGAGGCCGAGGCTGAAGGCAGACTGAGGCTGAGGCTGAAGCAGGCTGAGGCTGAGGCTGAGGCAGGCTGAGGCTGAGGCTGAGGCAGGCTGATGCTGAGGCAGGCTGAGGCTGAGGCTGAGGCTGATGCAGGCTGAGGCTGAGGCAGGCTGAGGCTGAGGCCGAGGCTGAAGCAGACTGAGGCTGAGGCTGAAGCAGGCTGAGGCTGAGGCTGAGGCTGAGGCAGGCTGAGGCTGAGGCTGAGGCAGGCTGATGCTGAGGCAGGCTGAGGCTGAGGCTGAGGCTGATGCAGGCTGAGGCTGAGGCAGGCTGAGGCTGAGGCCGAGGCTGAAGGCAGACTGAGGCTGAGGCTGAAGCAGGCTGAGGCTGAGGCTGAGGCAGGCTGAGGCTGAGGCTGAGGCAGGCTGATGCTGAGGCAGGCTGAGGCTGAGGCTGAGGCAGGCTGAGGCTGAGGCAGGCTGAGGCTGAGGCCGAGGCTGAAGGCAGACTGAGGCTGAGGCTGAAGCAGGCTGAGGCTGAGGCTGAGGCAGGCTGAGGCTGGCTGAGGCTGAGCTGAGGCAGGCTGAGGCTGAGGCTGAGGCTGATGCAGGCTGAGGCTGAGGCAGGCTGAGGCTGAGGCCGAGGCTGAAGGCAGACTGAGGCTGAGGCTGAAGCAGGCTGAGGCTGAGGCTGAGGCAGGCTGAGGCTGAGGCAGGCTGAGGCTGAGGCTGAGGCAGACTGAGGCTGAGGCTGAAGCTGAGGCTGAGGCTGAGGCAGGCTGAGGAGGCAGGCTGAGGCTGAGGCTGAGGCTGAGGCTGAGGCTGAGGCTGAGGCTGAGCAGGCTGAGGCTGAGGCAGGCTGAGGCTGAGGCCGAGGCTGAAGGCAGACTGAGGCTGAGGCAGGCTGAGGCTGAGGCTGAGGCAGGCTGAGGCTGAGGCTGAGGCAGGCTGATGCTGAGGCAGGCTGAGGCTGAGGCTGAGGCTGATGCAGGCTGAGGCTGAGGCAGGCTGAGGCTGAGGCCGAGGCTGAAGGCAGACTGAGGCTGAGGCTGAAGCAGGCTGAGGCTGAGGCTGAGGCAGGCTGAGGCTGAGGCTGAGGCAGGCTGATGCTGAGGCAGGCTGAGGCTGAGGCTGAGGCTGATGCAGGCTGAGGCTGAGGCAGGCTGAGGCTGAGGCCGAGGCTGAAGGCAGACTGAGGCTGAGGCTGAAGCAGGCTGAGGCTGAGGCTGAGGCTGAGGCCGAGGCTGAGGCTGAGGCTGAGGCTGAGGCAGGCTGATGCTGAGGCAGGCTGAGGCTGAGGCCGAGGCTGAGGCCGAGGCTGAGACTGAGGCTGAAGCAGGCTGAGGCTGAGGCTGAGGCAGGCTGAGGCTGAGGCTGATGCAGGCTGATGCTGAGGCAGGCTGAGGCTGAGGCTGTGACTGCGACTGCCGTTGCCACTGCGACTGTCATCGCGAGTGCGACTGCGACTGCGAGAACAGCAGAATTCTACAACTGGATTCTCATCTGAATCTTGAGGGGCATGCTTCCAGATATGCTCCTACACATCGCTGTTAGGCTGCTTTGCCGGGATAATTGTCTTGTTTGTTTTCCTGCCGCCGTCGTGTTCCGACGGCCTCCGTGCCGAGGAGAACACAAACACAGACCAAGTCCGGTGTGCGGCGCCCTCTGCCGGCCCTCTGCCGCTGGCCCCCCCCCCCGCTGCCGGCCTGGACGCGGCGGGGGTCGAGCGGAGCGGCTGGTCGGTGCGCTCGTGGGCCCCTGCTCCTCCTCCTCCTCCTCCTCCTCCTCCTGCCTCCTCCTCCTCCTGCCTCCTCCTCCTCCTCCTCCTCCTCCTCCTCCTCCTCCTCCTCCTCCTCCTCCTCCTCCTCCTCCCCCTCCTCCTCCTCAGAGGACGCTCCGCCTCCCCCTCCTCCTCCTCCTCCTCCTCCTCCTCCTCCTCCTCCTCCTCCTCCTCCTCCTCCTCCTCCTCCTCCTCCTCCCCCTCCTCCTCCTCCTCCTCCTCCTCCTCCTCCTCCTCCTCCCTCCTCCTCCTCCTCCTCTCCTCCTCCTCCTCCTCCTCCTCCTCCGGGGCCCCTGCGGGGCCCAAGGGGCCGCCAGGGGCCCCCTGCGGGGCCCAAGGGGCCGGCCTCCCGTCGGGCGTGTCCCCTATACAGCCTGCAGGAGGAGTGAGTCAAGGCCAGTGAGAAAACAGGAGGAGGAGGAGGAGGAGGAGGAGGAGGAGGAGGAGGAGGAGGAGGAGGAGGAGGAGGAGGAGGAGGAGCGCTCCGTCGACTGTTCTTGTGGCCACTCCCGGAGTGTGTTTTTGGGCCGTCTTCGCGTTCTCTCCCCCCACGGCCCTGCCTGTAGGAGGGCGTGCCCGACCCAGTCCTCTGGCTGGCCTCGGTGCTCCGCTCTCTGCCTCCGCCTCTCCCCCTGGGGCCCTCGCCCTCGCCGCCCTCTGTGCTCTCCTGGGGGGTGCGGTGGGCCGCTGCCGCGTAGGACACCGCGGACACCGCGAAGGCCAGGGCTCATGCCGATCCCTCCGTTTCGATTCGATCTCGATCTCGATGGCCTCCGATGCCGATGCGGTTCGACTTCGGATTCCAGTTCGGGCTCCGATTTCTCATTGGAGCCCTACTCGCCTGCCGATTTCTGCCGATTCGACCTCTCCCGACTTGGCTGCCAATTTCTGCCGATCCGATTTATTTTGATCGCCGATCCGATTTATCGATTCGACTGGGCTCTCCTGGAAGACTGGGAGAGGTTGCCACCTGCTGCGGCTGGTGTCAAGAAAAAAAATGGTTGGCAGGCTGCCAGCTTGGCTGGTGGGCTCGCTCCCTGGATGGACAGGGCGGGTGACAGGTCGGCGGGTTGTGTGGGCAGCTGAGGGGCTGGTTCGCAGGCTTGCTGGTGCTGGTCAAGGCTTGCCGCTTGTGGGTTCACAGCGCGGATCCATCTGCTGCTGTGGTCGCATAGGGTCGAGGCCTCGGGAACACGGATCAGTCTTCAGTGTTTTATTCGGGATCGTGGCCTTGGGAGCGCGGACCTATTCATTTAGGAAAAGGGGTCGTGTCCTCGGAAGTGAGAGCACGCATTATTTTTATTGTTTATGTCGGATCGTGGCCTTGGGATCGCGGACGCAGTTATATTGTAAGTGAGGGGTCGTGGGTCGGAAGTTCGAGCCCATGTATCCGTTGTGCGAAGTATATTTTGTATGTTGTTTCATCGTGGGCCATGATCGATTTGTTCATGTGTGTTGTTGTTGCTGCTGCTGTCGCTGTTGTTGTTGTTGTTGTTGTTGTTGTTGTTGTTGTTGTTGTTGTTGTTGTTGTTGTTGTTGTTGTTG